CCTAGGATTTTCGCCCCCCTGGGGGGGGGCGATATTCCTAGGAATTTCCCCCCGGGGGGCGAAAATGTAGGGGGGGCGAAAATCCTGGGACACCGGTATATCGGTAAGTTTTTTTGGTTTTATTTTAGTTTATATATTGTTTTATAGCGGTCAAATATCATTGCTGTATGTGTGTTTTGAAGTCGGCTTCGATGTACGGTGTTTTAATATATATATGTATTTAGTTTTATATATTAAACACGCACTTTATAAATGTCACTGTACTTACTGAATTATCTATATGGCTCCTAAACATAAATATATCAGTATATGTGGATATTGTATGTTATATTCGTTTATTCTTGATCTTTCGTGAGTACGCCCAGAACATTCGAGTGTTCGGAAATATTGCCATGTCATCCAACATATTTGAAATATTTAATCAAATAATTTTGCACAAAACTATATTTTAAAGCGCTTTACTACAGATATATTAAAAGTTATAGCTTTAAGATAGTTCAGTTGTCATTTAATGAGTAATTTTCTTGCAATTTTGTGGAATGCGATGTTCAGTTGTCATTTAACAAGTAATTTTCTTGCAATTTTGCGATCTCTCGACAATGTTTACAATAAAAGCTGCTGAGTCACGAGGACCGTTCAAAATTTTTCTCTATTGAAAAATAACACAAAACCGTCGTCTCCTTTTGCAATACCGAACGTTCTATATGACACAAAAACGATCTAAAATACTTTAGTTAAACTAAAAGTACTGTATAGTACCTTTGAACAACTGAATAGAGTTATATAACATTTGAAATGCTTGAACTTTTTGATCTCCTGGGCCAGGGGAAAGAATATTGTATTGCGGAATTATTTTGCGGAAGGAAAACAAAAAATAAAACTTGCGAAATATTTGGGTATTTGGAATTTTTTAAATATCCAAAAGATTTTGGACCTGAAATGTTTAATCCATTACAGTAATTACAACAACTTTCCCCTTGAAGAAGCTTTCGTTCAACATAAAATAGTCTGTGCTAACAAGGTACAGTGCACATGAGGGGACAATTGTGTTAACAAAAAACATGGCAAATAATTTGGTTAGTCATTTGAGTGGCAGTATACACTCTCCTTGATGCGTAAAATGGTCTGGTGTTATTAAGACAGTGTAAGATAATAAAGCTGGGCTCATGAGGGTGCATTGCCACTCATTAATTTCTTCTTTGTTATATATATATAAACAAAATTCCCAATATTCTAATTCAAACATGATGAAGTTGAAAACAACTGGCTTGATTATTGCTAATCGGTTCTTCTGTTTTGTAGGTATATATAGCAATTATTTTAGTGCTATGTGCTTCTGTATGTAGTAGCATACAATGTGATCTGGCAAAAGAATATCAACTTGTACGAAATAAGACGTCCAGAGAAATTTTGAACTGTCCTAAATGTACGGCTTGTAAACCTGGATTTGAACCAGAACCACCATGTGGTTCAGTTGTTGTTGTTACAGATGAACTTCGAATTTGCAACCCTTGCAAAGATGGTTCCTACTCAGCAAATGAAGATATGCTCCAATGTCAACAGTGTCAAAGTGCAACATGTTTCACACATCAGATAGTCATGGGGATATGTAAGAAAGATAAACCTGATACTTCGCGTTGCACTGGTTGTCAAAAAGGCTATGTTATGAACACCGGTGCAACAGCATGCGTGGTGGACAAACAGCAGAAGACAACTGAGTCTGACCTGTCAACTGTTACAACAAAGGGTCCAACTCCATCAAATAAAACTGATGGAGAAACTGGGTTGTCAGTTCCAAAAACTGGGTTGTCAGTTGTAGAAATCATTGTCATTGTTATTTGTTCAGTGGTACTCATTGTAGTAATTATTGGCCTATGTTTGTACTGTAATTCCAGAAACTCAAGGCACATTCAGAGAGGTAATTTATCTGATTATTTATTAAATAAGTTTTTCTTATAATTTGTTAATTCAAAAGAAATTAATTGTGTGCCATGATTTTGTTTTGGTATCATATATGAATATTCATCTTAGGTAAAATCGATGAGGAAAGCAGTTCAGCAAATACTAGTACAACACTATTGAATGAAACCAAGAATGAAGGAAATCGAACAATAATCCTGCAAGGTAATTATGTGTTGATTTATGTGTTCCCTTTAGATATAAGCTTTGTGTTCTTCCAGTTTTATGACGTGTTTATTTTTGCACAAATGTAGAAGAAGATCACCACATTGGTTTATTTCTGTCAGATGGAATCCATGTCAAGGAAACAACAGCAGGATTTGGTATCTCATCAACTGTCCTGTTCTGATATTGAATTTGTGTTTTATTCTTGTCATTCTATTCAAATCTAACTATAGAATTTTGTTTCCATACATTTAGTTGATTCAAGCCAATCAAACAATGCAGGAAATGATGTCAGTGGTACAGTTGTGGGCTATACACCACCTCTCAATAATTTTGTGGCGAACAATGGGCGAGGTAAATGTCAGTTATGTATTGATATTTCCAATATTTTTAAAATGAAAAAGTTTGGAACGGTGTAAATTTATATGTTATTGTAGCAATGCCACCAGCATCATTAATGCAAAACAGACGACCAGAACATGCATTGATGCAAAACAACAGTCAGCCAGAATCATTGATTCTACAAAGAGCACCTGCTGCAGTCACCCCAAATTATCTCCAAGTTAATGATCCACATCTTACAAGGTTTGGTGGTCTTTCATTCCAAACATATGACGAAATATGTGTAACATTTGATGCTGGTCCACCAGGAAAAGATTGGAGAGCCCTGGCTGGCTGGCTTGTCTTAAAAGTTGAAGTTGTTGATCAAATTGGAATGAAGGAAGACAAAACGAATCAAGTAATTAAAACATGGGCAGTGAAAACTAAAAACACTGTAGCTAGGTTTGTTCAAATTTTGGAAGAGGAAAAACATGGAATGACATACTTGGCTGACAAGATTAAAGCAGAACTTAATATTGCAGCATAAGTATTTAAGTTGTTGATGCAATTGCCAATTCCAAGGCACCATCGAGGTTCTCATCAATGTTCCAGAATTCTAACCAATATCCACAGTTATAATTTGCGAGGTTCAAATTCCATCTCTTTTTCTGCCACGACCAAATACCGAGTATGGCAGAAAATGTTCAGTTTCGATATAGTGGGGTTAAAATCTGGAATAGCATTCCTAAGAAACAGCAAATCTTTAAATTCTTTTAATAGAAATATTTCCTCTGTTAATCTGACGAATTAGCTATTTGACTACTTGTACCATTTGTTTTGTAATATGTATTTTATATTCGTAGTTCTTAGTATTATTAGTGATTTTGTATTTTATATATTTTTGTATAATGTATTTAATAATTTATCTACGCCCCACTTAATGAAAAGCAGCTCCGGTTGAAGTGGCCATCGTAGTCAAATAAAGTTTTATCTTATCTTATCTTATCTTATCTTAAGCATATGTAATTGTGATTAGAATGTCCATGTATTTCTTTAACCAGAAGACTGCTTTACATACTGCTTTACATACTTGATAGAGATACAACTACCTGAAATATACAAGGAGATCTTTGATGTTTTGAGTGAAGGCCCTTTCATTACTAACTTCCAGACAAATTAGACCTTTGCTTGAAATGGCCAAGTTCTCCTTGCTTTACATACAGTACACAAAAGACAAGATTGATCCAGACTTAGTGACCATGACTTGGTTATGACTGCAATCAAGTGGAAGCCAGGCGCTTTATCCTATATTGACACAAGCATATCTGGTATCTAGGAAATATTTTACACAAGGCTTATTTTATTTTTTATCAGTCATTTTTAACGTTTAGGCCTGTTTTAATTATACGTCGAATTTCGGTCGCGTCGAATGCAATTCATGAACTTTCTTGAACTTGCCAATGAATTTTTTTTTCTTGAACAATGAATGAACTTTCTTCGCAGTTTCTATAAACGATCATGTAAATATTAGTTTATAGACTAGGCAATGAAATTGTTTTCAATTGACAATTAAATTAATTGGGTAGCAACCAGCATATTTTGTAAATACTGTGTTAATCACTAACAGGATATTACGTGTGTATGTAAATTTAATGAGCCGGCAAATTTCTTTTTCAAATTGAATATTTATTATACAAAAAAAGGTTGAAAACTTGGCCAAATAAATTAGCTGCATCTGAAAAGCTTCTAGCCAAATGGTAATATCTTTTCTTATGTAGAAATATGTCCTATAAATCTGATTGTAGCAAAAAATTTAGAGTAGTATTATGCAATCGATTATTTAATAATACGATGCGAAATTGAATTAATAACAGGAAACGATCGAAATACATGACGACTATATCACAGATTGAGAATATGCTTAATCTGTGACTACATATAACGAAAAATTATTTTCTCAACTGCAAAAAACACGTTTTTGTACGTAAAAGCACGTGGTACAAAAGGGAAATCCCCCTAAAAATTTGCTGAGTCATTATTTACCCAAGATCCTTTTGGGGCATTGACCTGCAAATTAGAATTTAATTAATTAATTTCGTCCAGCAATTTCATCATTGCAGAATTTCAAAATATTCTACGAAACATCGTATTTAAAACCTAGATTTCGTTGGTTTAAAAGACTAAACTGAAACTAAGCAGTCTTAATTTAAACCTTTGTGGTTTTCTGAGTAGTTTTCCGTTTCGGAAATGCTTGAAAATGGCTAAATATTGTTGGACTTTGTTGTGGCAAATTTTATATTTCTGCACGGTGAGTAAAATATTTTGAATTTTGATAGCTGTTTTACAACCTGTTGTTTATTTGCATATTAATATTGCTTTTTATAAGTGCGTGGTATATTGGAATAGAGTATTTGTTTCCTTTATATTGAGGCAATTCCGGATTATATTAATAGTTTATATTGTGTAGTGTATTTATATAGCTTTTGCTAAATATGTGCTATTTTAGATTTTGCCATTTTGAAATTGTTAGGTAATTTTCTCTTGGACTTGGTCACGTGAAATTGATTTGAACAACCCAACATGTGCCAATAATGAGTTCGGATATAAGTCTCCAGATGGACAGCTGACGTGCAAACCTTGTCGCAATCTACCCAAATGTCCTGATGGTCTTGGCATCTCGGTAGCCTGTGGTCATATAGCACGTACGCATGTACACTGTGTTAATTGTGTGCTTGGTAAAAATTTCTCGGCAGATTATGACAGCTTACCTTGCGAAACCTGTCAGAGCGCTTTTTGTCATGAAAATGAGAAGATTATTGGATCATGTACTGTTGATAAAGATACGTCAAAATGTAGCGGAACTTGTAAGAAAGGATTTTATTCAAGTGATGGTGATTTGAAAAATTGCCAGCCCTGTTCATCGTGTTTGAACAATGCCAGTGCTCGTGTCAAGAAGTGTAACGATGATGGTTTGCCGATTGCAAAACAATGTGAAGTGGGGTCTGTTGTGCCCACAGCATTTCCATCTAAGGTATGATTTAGGATCAGATGTAAGATTAGGGTTTGGGGTAGGACTTGATTTTTTTAGATTTTTAATATTTCACAAATATAACCAGAGGATTTAGGTTACAAATAATGTACATGAAAAAATACTCCATTATGATTGGTTAAGAGCGGTACCATTTTATTGAAATACAGAACCAAAATTAAGAAATACTTTGTGACAAGCATTTTAGATAGTATTTGGAAAGAAATGTTCACACCCTTGACCCTTTCAGCAGCAGCACTCCCCCCTTGATGAGCATTTGACAGACAGGGCCGTAGCAGCCCCCCCCCCTCCCAATTGATAATTTGCTAATAATCATTCTTTTTTCAACATCATGCAGACCTTAATTATCATTTAAATAATATACCTTTAAAATACTGACAATTGATTAATTTAAAGCGGCTACATTATCCATGACAAACTGCAAAGAATGAAGATATTACCCATACTTTTCTGCAACTTATCCAATATATAGTTAATTAAATATGCCTTTGTCCATTTAGTACTACTAAATTGTAAACAAACTGTAAATTTTGACATACTAAAATGCTGTTTCCTGACCATCGGAATTCTGTCAATTTTTCCCCAAAGTCCAGGAAATGGCATTTCAGGGACTCTAAATTTTAAAATTTCCTCGGGCCTTTGGCCCTCATTTTCAGCCCCCCCCCCCCTTCCAATCAAAAAGAGCTTCCTACGGCACTGACAGAGTAAAATAATAAAAGTACAATTTATGCAACTTAATGGGTATTGAACTTTAAGAATTGGTATTATTCAGAAACAACTGCCTTCAAAGAAAAATGGTGAGAAACACAGTGTCATTGAAGGATATAAGTTTTACGGCCATCCTGCAATGTTCAGTTTCTTTCTGGTTGTTATTTTTGTTTTGGCGATAATCCTAGCAGTTGTCGTGCTGAGAAGAAAGTTTCGAAAGAAAACACAAAGTCCAGTGGTAGCGCTGACTGAAGTCACTAGTACATGTAACAGTAAGTGTCTTTGCTGTTGTTTTACTTGGTTTTATATAAGCTAATTTTACTTTTCAAACATACTGCTTTACTCCTGTAGATGTACATGTTCATTATTTGATACAGTAACTGTACTTGATCATTTCAGCTGATAGTAGTGTTGTTGAGACTGATGTGTATGATGGCTCCTCAGATCTGCCTGCAGTCGAAGCTGTCAGGAGAAGAAAATCCTCAGCTGGCTCTGGTGGACGAAAGGTTTCCGTCAGTCGACAGATTTCCTCAAATTCCAACAATGGCTCGGACTTTAGTGGTGAAAGTATGTTATAGGTTGGCCATCATGGACCACCTTTTGTTGCTGGAAATATGTTTGTTCTTTAATTTAAACCTTTCTACTTTCATAGTATATAATATGGCTGATTTTCTAGCCTACCATCAGGGTCATAACTTGGGCAGTATTATGGCTGGGAGGAGTGTATAAGCTTGTTTTGCCCAACGAAAAGGGCGTGGCAGAATAGTGGGGGGGGGAGAGAGAAAAAAAATTTCGCACATACAATTTTTCACTAAATTACCAAAATTTGTACCAATTTTCAGTAATATTTTCGTAAATTTATAAAAATTTTTCCTACAATTATTACTTTTTTCAAAAAATGATGTAACATTTTTTGCTGAATTACATAGTTTTTGCCTGACGAGCATGTCCTTAATATTGCCCAACAAAACTGCAATATTACAACATTGGGGGGGGGGGGTATTTGATAATTAATACCCTCCAGGAGTTATGCCCCTGCCTCACAGCTAGGTTTGTCACTCGAAGGTTTTTGTATATTTTTGCCCCCCCCCCCCAAATTTGTCAAATGAAAAGGTAAAAATTTATACAGTACGTTTAGGATTTCTTTTTGTCCGTCGAGGACCAGGGAGTGCACAAGCTCCTAAATTGCCAGGAGAGAATGATGTTTTTGAAGAGAAACCTCCTGAACGAACACGGACTCTGTCTGGCTCATCAGGTAATTATAGTATAAGTATTAACACTTGTATTTTTTAAAAATCTCTCCATGCTGGAGGACCTGCACTTACAGTACAATGACGTAATTTAATAATGATTGGCTTAGTTGCTGATTGGCTGCGAGCTAACACACATACAGACAAACTTCCCATTCAATAACATTACAGTATGTCTGCGCTAGCGCGAATACAAAATTGATAATAATTCCTTAATTATTAGGAAAAAGAAAAAGCATTTTTGGCCGCCAAAACTCAAACCCAGTAGCGGAACAAAATGAAGAAAGTATGATCAAGAATTTGTAAATCCTTTGACTTTGTTTTCGCTTCGTGGACATTTTCTAATCCTTGCTGTCATTCTTTTGTATTTTGCCATACAGAACCCTTTAATAAGCGAAGTAGCACATTCAGCAATTTTTCAACCATCTTTTCTGGGCAGAAGACAGGGACTAAAGGTAAGGCTGTTTTGTATTGCGATATCTTTTTCAGTTAGCGCAGATAAAAACCTCTAAAACTATTCAATTCATACAATGGTTACTTCAAGATGAGTCAATCATTTATTTGTTTGCAGACGAAACGACTTCCCTCCTATCATCCACAGACTATAATGATAATGATATTCCTCCTCAAGTAGTCGCACTGCCTGCTGAAACTAGTTCATCTACAGGTATGCAGGGGTTTTCCCCAGGATTTTCTCTTGGGTCCGTTTTTACAGAGAAGATTGCTAGTTTAGCTTAACAGCTGGGGTGGCTGTAACCCCCCTCCCCCCACACACACCGGGGGATGACACATGTACTCAATACATGTAGTTGAGACGCAAAGTGTTAAAACAGGGGCGAATGCGTAGTTTTTCTTGTGGTGTGAGATGAATTCCAGCCATTTTTTCTCAATTGTCGGGTTTCCAAATGAAATCCGCTAATTTCCACACGTCACGAATTTAACTTCAACATCTTCATTTCTACTGTACTGAAACTTTAGTGAGAAGATTGAGTTTCAAAACTCAATTCAAGATCGAGTTTTTGGGGGCGTTTTACGGCCCTAAAAACTCCCTGGTATGATGGTCTATGGAGCTTCCCAAACTAGTTCATATTTCACAAATGGACGGGCAGCCAGTTCGTGCTTGGCTAGTCAGTCAGTCAGTCAGTCAGTCCGTGCTTGGCCAGTCAGTCAGTCAGTCATTAATTTTCATATATTTTCCAGGCATAGCGCCACACAGACTATCTGGTTTAAAAATCGGAGATTTAAATGCAGAGACTCATCGACAACTTTGTAGAAAACTAAACATCGACGTTTCTGATAAAGATTGGAGAACTCTGGCAGGGCACATGAAGTACACTACCCAACAAGTCAAAGAATTCGCTCGGGATGCAAATCCTGCAGACAAATTGTTGGACTGCTGGAGCACAGGCGAGGGACATGATGTTGCTTCCTTGATAGAACTCGTGAAAGGGATGAACAGGGATGATCTGGTTGAGTTACTGGAATCTGACCCCAACCCAACGAAATTTTATCTTTGACAAATGGAAGGTTTTGAATGTTTTTTAAGGTACTGTTATCTTGACAATGAAAAGTCTAATATATTTTTCGACTTAACATGGACACACCATGTATAATATGGGTATGTATATAACTAGATTTTGGACATCTTTGTTCGATAGATGGGTTTATTGTTGAGGTCTAAAAATGTAGATTTTCGGACGAGAATTCTATTTACAATCAACCCATGTACTGATTAGTTTTATCGAATGAAAATGCCCAGTTTGTCGGTGTGGATGCACACTTAGAGTAACACTACAAACATCAAGCTTGGTGTAAGTTACAACATTTTATTATTTTAATATTACGAAGACTTGCTTTTATTTAAGCAAATGAAGCTAACATATATGACGGTCATCAAGATTTAAGTGTTAATTAATTAATTAATTAAGTAGTTAGTTAAGCACTAATTAGGTAGCACAACAAGCACATGTAACATTTTATCATTTTATACTACGCTGATTCTGGTGTACAGTATCATCAGAGTCGATTACTAGCATGAATTTTTTTTAAAAAAAAAGTAATCGTTCGCATTTAACAATCCAATGTAACTGTGCTGTAACGTGGTTTGTTGACTGACTTCGAATGTATTTATAAAAATTCTCAGAAAATAACTCTTTTATCGGTAGAAAACCAATAACATTCTTTCCTGCTGGCTTGCTCGTTAAAACCTCCAAAACTTTTGCCATGTGGGCAAAACTTTTGCCATGTGGTTTGATTTAAGTTGTTGATGATTTAATAGAAACAGATGTAATTGTGATTAGAATGTCCATGATGTATTCCTGTAACCAGAAGACTACTTTACATACTGCACTCTGTGTCAGTGTAGGTAGTGTCAATAGGAAAGCTTTGGATTAGATAGGGATACAACTACCTGAAAAATACAAGAACTTCGATATTTTGATTGAAGGGCTTTTCACCAGACAAATTAGACCTTTGCTGGAAATGTCAAAGCTCTCCTTGCTTTACATACAGTACACAAAAGACAAGATTGATCCAGACTTAGTTACCAATGACCATGACTTGGTTGTGACTGCAATCAAGTGGAAACCAGTTTCTCTATCCTATATTGACACAAAACAAATCTGTCGATCCGCCCAAGTTCGAAGCAAAATCCGCCAATCCGACAATGGTTTTATCTAAATTTGGATCCGCTAAAAGCTCTACTATAAAGTCACAAACCAGGATTCAAATTAAATTACAAGGTAAATCCACAATCTGAGTCAAAATATTAGATAAATCCGCAATCCGATGTATTAATAAGATCCGCAAAACCGTGTAAAATATTCGCCAGATCCAAAATCCGAACAATGTTTTCGACGGAATCCGACGATCCGAAAACCTATTCACCCCATATCTGATATCTAGGAAATATTTTGCACAAGGCTAATTCTATTTTTTATGGTATCAGTCATTTTTATCATTTATCTTTCTTATGCTAATGCCACAAGCCCACAACGCTTGCAAAAATCAAACTGACCTTGTATTTTCAAACCAGTAATGCATCATCCATTTTATTCAAAATAGTCTTGACTTTTACTCCTTAGTTTTGAATTTAAATTAACTTTCTTGGCAGTAATTTCTACAAAAACCATGTAAAAATTCCATGTAAATATTACTGTAAACAAAAATTTAATTAGAGATGTGATTGTCGTGACTGTAGACTAGAGATGTGACTGTAGATTAATGAAATTTGTTTTGATAATTAAATTTAGTATGATAGCAACCACTACTTGTAATTATGAATTACTAACAGGATATTAATATGTATGTATGTAAATTTACGTGAAGCCTCTAGATGAGCAATTCTTGGCCTTCTTGGGGCAATCTTTTTCAAATTGAATATTTATTATACAAAAAAGGTTAAAAACTTGGCCAAATAAATGTGTGTTTTTCACTTGCAAATCTGGAAGAAAGTATTATTAAATTTAGCTGCGTCTGAAAAGCTTCTAGCCAAATGGTAATATCTTTTCTAATGTAGAAATATTGTAGCAAAAATGTCATTGTAGCAAAAATGTTACTATACTATTATACAATCGATTATGATTAAATCTCATTTCACCTTGTAACATCAATATCATGTACTTGCATATTAGGTTATTCCAAGTACCTGGTATGTTGGGATTGAGTAGGGTTAGGTTAAAACGCGGATGCGGAACGGAACGGATGGGGTTAATATGAACATGTGAACATGTGAACATGTCCGCAGAGTGCATTTTGCTTTTTAATTAAAAAGCAAAATGCACACTCTGCGGACATGTTCATGAGAATATAATTTTTTTGTGCAATGAATGTGTCAGACCCTATTTAAAATTAGGGCCTAAACTGCAGGTTACGTTTTAACCCCATATCCGTTCCGTTCCGCATTTTAACCCCATATCCGTTCCGTTCCGCATTTTAACCCCATATCCGTTCCGCATTTTAACCCCATATCCGTTCCGCATTTTAACCCCATCCGTTCCGCATTTTAACCCCATCCGTTCCGCATTTTAACCCCATCCGTTCCGCATCCGCTTCCGCGTTTTAACGTAACCCGGATTGAGTATTCGTTTCCTATTGTCGTCTGACAGAGGTCATCTGACTCGGGCTAAAAATACACGTTTTTGTAATACAAAGGGAAATCCCCCTAAAAATTTGCTGAGTCATTATTTACCCAAGATCCTCTGGGACATTGACCTGCAAATTAGAATTTAATTAATTTCGTCTGGCAATTTCATTGCAGACTTAAAATATTGTACAAAAAATCGTATTTAAAGCTGGGATTTCGTTGATTTAAAAGACTAAATTGAAACTAATCAGTCTTAATTTAAAACTTTGTGGTTTCCTGAGTAGTTTCCGTTTCGGAAATGCTTGAGAATGGCTAAATATTGTCGGACTTCCTTGTGGCAAATTTATTTATGCACGGTGGGTAAAATATTAGGAATTTTGATAGCTGTTTTACAACCTGTTTTCCATTTCACTATTTGCATATTAATATTGCTTTTTATAAGTGCATGATATATTGGAATAGAGTATTTGTTTCCTTTATATTGAGACAATTCCGGATTATATTAATAGTTTATATTGTGTAGTGTATTAATTGCTAAAATAATGTACTAAATTATGTACTATTTTATATTTTGCCATTTTGAAATTGTTAGGTAATTTTCTCTTGGCCTTGTTTTGGTGAAATTGATTCGAACAACCCAACTTGTGCCGATAATGAATTTGGATATATATCTCCAAATGGACAGCTGACATGCAAACCTTGTCGCAATCTACCCAAATGTCCTAGTGGTCTTGGCATCTCGGTAGCCTGTGGTCGTATAGCACATATACATGTAGATTGTGTTCATTGTGTGCTTGGTAAAAATTTCTCAGCAGAGTATGACAACTTACCTTGCCAAACCTGTCAGAGTGCTTTGTGTCATGAAAATGAGAAGATAATTGGATCATGTACAGTTGTTAAAGACACATCAAAATGTAGCGGAACTTGTAAGAAAGCATTTTATTCAAGTGATGGTGATTTGAAAAATTGCCAGCCTTGTTCATTGTGTTTGAACAATGCCAGTGCTCGTGTCAAGAAGTGTAAAGATGACGGATTGCCAATTGAAAACCAATGTGAAGTGGGGTCGGTTGTACCCCCAGCGTTTCCATCTAAGGTATGATTTAGGATCACTTGTAAGATTAGGGTTTGGGGCAGAGAATTTAGATTACTAATAATGTTCATTAAAAAATTGCTCCATTCTGATTCAAGTTAAGAACAGTACCATTTTGTTGGAATACAAAAAAGAAATACTGTGTGACAAGTAGGGCGCAAAATAACACAAACAAATCTGCATTCTGTCCGAACAGTATCCACTGACTGGCCGTTATTTCGAGCCCTGCTTATCATGCAGTATTTCTTTTTTCGCATAAGTCAGAAACTTTCACAGAATGAAAGTACTGAGGACAAAATGATGATGGGAAGCAGCTTCAGTTAATATGTACTAAATAAAGCGAAAAACTATAAAATTTAAAACACTGACTAAGCCTAAAATAAAGTTCAAAATATAGTGACCTTTTGTGTTCACATTCATGATTGCCAGAAGTTCCATTCACCATCCGCTTAAAAATCATTGTCAAAGCTGTTCCAGTTAAGGTGATGCTGGTTTTGCAGAATTCAGTGCACAGTCTGTTCTATGATCATAAATCGTGACGACTAACATAAACACAGTGCAAGCTTTTTTATATCAAGTTTGTATTTTTTGTTGAAGCTTTTAGTTAAATGCTACTGGAAAAAATGATCATATTTTTAAGGGACATATACTTTACCAGGCGCTTTGCTTTAAATTAAATTATTTTGACCAGTTAGAAATTCGATATGTCCAAACTAAAATTGATTTGGCCAGTCACCTTGAACGGTGCATGACCCTTCAGCTGTTATTTTGCGCCCTGGTGACAAGCATTTATTATAGGTAGTATTTGGAATGAAATGTTCATACCCTTGACCCTTTCAGCAGCAGCAACCTCCCTTGATGAGCATTTGACAGAGTAAAATATAATAAAGTATATATGCATTGGTATTATTCAGAAACAACTGGCATCAAAGAAAAATGGTGCAACTGAGACACATGATAAAAAAGATGGATATAAGATTTACGGCCATCCTGCACTGCTCACTGTCTTCCTGCTTGTTATTTTTGTTTTGGTGGCTGTTGTGTTGAGAAGAAAGTTTCGAAAGAGAAGACAAAGTCCAGTGGTAGCACTGGCTGAAGTGGCCACACTGGCTGAAGTGGCCACACTGGCTGAAGTGGCCACACTGGCTGAAGTTGCCACACTGGCTGAAGTTGCCACACAGACCAATAATGGTACCGGTAGGTGTCTTTGCTGAGTGTTTTACTCTGTTTTACTTTTCAATTAAACAGACAGCTTTAGACATAAATGTTTATTATCAGAGGGTCACAGGATCTGATCGAAATTTGCAGTATCCTGATATCCACAGGATACTAAAATTTGGTTTTGAATACCAAACTGTATATGACTTAATTATCCCAACTGGATACTAAGAAAATTTCAAACATTAGGAAAATGTTAAACACCTCTGACGGGCCGAAATTCATGGCGTGACATGAGCGATATTCGGGCCATAAAATTAAGCGAGACATAATGAGCGTGACGATACACAGCGATACACGGCGTGTCTCAAACGTGACATTTTCGAGCGAGACATTGGGCGAGACATGAGCGATAATGAGCGTGACGATACACCAGCGATACACGGTGTGTCTCAAACGTGACATTTTTGAGCGAGACATGAGCGATAATGAGCGTGACGATACACAAGCGATACACGGCGTGTCTCAAACGTGACATTTTCAACCAAATTTCACCGGTACTTGGCCATACATTTTTCAGGCCATAATTTTGTCTGGCCTGATTTTGGCTGTATTATGGCTCCACATTTAGGCCGGAAATTAAGAAACGCAATCGCATTTACGCAGACAAGTAAGGGACGGACCATTAGAAAAGTGATGGGGGGGGGGATTTTCTAAGAGGCAATATATTTTTTTTTTGTACACCTATAGAAGAAATATTTTTTTTTTCTAACTTGATGGTTGGAAATATTTTTTTTTTAAAGGGGCCCTACAGTAATTTTTTAGTCAAGTAAGTATTGTTTACATTTTTTGTTATTGTTGCTACTTGACATGCGCACCACAGTATGCATGCGTTTTCTGTGTGCGAAAGTACTCATACTCATGGATACTGCATGTAAGATACAGCCAAACGAATCTCCGTGGAGTCCCCTACTTAAGGTGGCTTTCGACTAAAAAATGACTGTAGGGCCCTTTAAGTGAAATTTATAGGCCTATTAGTGGTGTAGTCCTGGAATGTTAACAAGGGGGGCTCTCCAAAGTGCCCTGAATTGGCGGGAGGGGAGGGGAGGTACAATAAGATATTTTAGAAATTCTAAATTTTGTTGGGGTTTATTCTAGTAATTCTGGGACAAACATTTGACATTATTCTTATTAAAAACAAGCCGAAGCGAGGGCCGAAGGCCCGAGGAAATTTTTAAATTTAGAGTCTCTGAAAGGCCATTTCCTGGACTTTGGGGAAGATTTGACAGAATTCTGATGGTCAGAAAACAGCGTTTTAGTATGTCGAAATTTACAATTTAGTGGTACTAAATGATATAAAGATTACAAAAATGGCGATATAAAGATTACAAAAATCATTGTGTTAAATGATGAGTGAAAATGAGATGCAATTCTAAAGAACATTCTCGTTTACTGGTATTTTTTTGTGTGTGTTTTCGCACGTTGTTAAGATTATCAATTATGCAACGTGCCATAATACTGTATAGGGGGGCTCAGCACGCTGGTCACATTCAGCAAATTTTCTCCCAGGATCGCAGGCTCATATTGTCAGTGGACTTGCGGTGTAAAATTGAAACTTTTGCATTTTCAAGCATTTTCAGGCGCTCCTTGCGTTATCAACAATATAGTATTGTAATTGTTAACCGTTATTAGCAATAAGTTATTGGGTTGTTAACCCTAACCCCCACCCTAACCTCTAACCCCCTAACCACTAACCCCTAACCCTAAACCCGGAACAGGGCTGCTGGGATTTTATCCCCTGAGTCCTCCCTCCAGTACACCACTTGGCCTATCTTCTAAGCAAGGAATTTTTTTTTTGCACTATGCCTTGAAAGATTTTTTTTTTTCCATTTTTTTCTGGGAATAAATTTTTTTTTGGTTTTGAACCCCC